CAACAGATTGCAACGATGATCTTCCTGGCAGTAGATGGAAGATGGAAGGCTTCCCTAGCTGACCCAGCTGCTCTACCACTGGACCTGTTGCAACTGCAGCTCGATTTTGCTCTCCCGGCAAACACCCCAAACACGGAAACTGCCAGAAGTGATTGGGGAGCTGGGGATAATAGATCGAGGTCACATCATGTCATCCCCGTTCTTCACGTAGTCACCGTAATTAATATCATCAACCAATTGTCATGCTGAACTGATAAGCCCAAAGTGACAAGTGCATAAGCCCCACAACCTTCTACAAGAAAGCATGTCATGCTGAAGAAGACCAATTCCCGTGCCAGGCCGAGTGTGTTCGTCCCTTTTCGACTACTCATGTTAACTCGTCCCTTTACACTTGCCACGCTACGTTTGAAAGCACTTCGCGGTCATTCCAAAGAGTGACTATACTAAACAGGTACAAAACACCAGCAAAGTGGCACTCGTTTAACATTTCACCATGACATGCAATGGCTCTTGTCAGAGCTTTAGCCCCTAGTGCTCCAACCATATCCTCAGGTGGTCAGACCCCCCCCGGCACCCACCATAACCATCTTCTCAGAAGGTAGGCCAGGAGCCCTAGGGAGCAATCCTCCATCCGGATCCATCCGGCATGTATCACCTTGCTTACCTGATCGCCTCTCGATGCTTACCACGTCGCCTCTGCCCCTGGTCGACCCCTCTCCATTCCCTCGATTTGGCCGCCAAAACCTCGGGCCCCAACTCCCAGTCTCGTTGAGCCTTTCCAGCTTCGACCTATAGAAGAAGTGACGCGTAACTCAGAGCGCAGAAGCACCACAGGAGCACCAGATTCTTTTGGGATGGAAGAATCAGAAAATCCAGAAGTTGTGTAGGGTAGTCCAGTCAGGACACCCCGACAGGATGGTCCTGGTATCATAAATTACCATATATTTTTACTTCAACCGGTCAACCTTAGCTCACAACATGACTTACGATATGTAACGCAGTGTGTCGTAGTGTGTGTTCTCAAATGATCTCAAATGTCTCTAAACATATGAACAGGTTATTTGGAGCACTCACTCTTACACTGCCTGGAAACAATCCATGCAAGTGGAAGGGTTCGGCCCCTTAGAAAAAGCCTTTTCCTACAAGTGGAGCCTGCATTTGAGGGCTGGGAAGCGCTTGTCGTCCCTTTGACCGGCCCGGCGGCCCTCGGTCGTCGTGTCGGGATCCAATCGAGGTGTTGTGGATGTGAGCTGATGATGTATTGACTATATTTGGGGACCATAACATCTACAATGGCCGGGGCGATCCACAGCATGAAAAAGGTTGGAGGCCATATACAGTAGGTTGGAGGTTATGGCTATTAGGTTCCTTACTTGGGTGATTCACAACACTTCATCCTTCCAGGGGGTCGGCGACCAAGCGACGTGGACCTTGGATGATCCTTGGATGATCCTGTACGTTAGAACCAAAAAAGAATACGCACATGGTGATCCATGTCTCAAGCCGAAAAAAGAACTCGTTGCCCCTCCCAAAGAAAATCACATGGTTTTCACTTCAAAAGGCCAGGAACCTTTCAATCCAAACGCTTGGATCAACAGCAGTCCTTCCAAGCACCCGTTTATCAAACTGCCATGTCGATTGGAGATTGACTGTGCGGTTACAGTACATCCTGCTTCAGGCTTCGCAGCGGTTTCGCAAGTCAAACTGGCACCCTCCATCTTTTCCTGAGACCTCATCATCATCCAAACATCTTGCTCAGCTCTTTCTCAGGCTGAAACTTGCACCTTGTTCCGTACCAACCCAATCCAAATCCGCACCCACGCACCCCGGCCCCGCCCGCCAACCAAGCGGCACCTGAAGCCATCCGCACCCCTCGAACCCCCCGGTGGCCGGCCTTCCGCAGCTTCGCCAAGGTCTGCAGCTGCTCCGAGGCCTTCGTCGCCCAAGGAATCCCAGGCGAGCCACTGTGCCCCATCGGTTTAACCCTTGAGCCACTTGGCTCGCCATGGATCACAGGTCCTTGAATCCTAAGCGGGCAAAAGGACATGGAGAGCAGGAATTGCATTTTTGGTGCTTATAGTGAGGCAAACTACCGTCAGGGGTATCTAAGACAAGCATCCGAACTTCGTGGTTGGAATAGTATGGAAGCGTATGACTGTTCCACGTGGTGGAAGTGAACTTGGTAACAAATGAATGGAATTGGAACTGCAGTGTATGGACCAACAATCCACGTGTGGAAAATTGCCCGAACCCTTAAAGCAACTTGAAACACTTTGAAACATTTTGAAACCATAAACCACCTCAACGCAAGTGAATGTTTCATACATGGGCTGTCAAGTTGTCTGGAAAAAACAACGCGTGTTGTCGAGCATTTCTTTAGGCTTCCTCTGGAAACCACGCTCCCTCCATATCCCCCTTCCGTGTCTTTCGCTGTGCTTCCCCTGGGATGTTGGGTCCCGTTGGGTCCCTGGTGCGTCCCTCGTGTCCTTCGCGTCGCGGACAACGGCGGCCCGGCACCTTCAAGACCCTGGCGCGAATGGTGTGCAGCACCTGCTGTTGTCGGACCGTGCGGGAGCCGAGCAGCGGAGCAGGAGCTGGGAGAGCAACTTCTTCTCGGGATGTATGAGAACTGCATCGGTACATACACAGAACAGCGTGCGAGATTTGATTGGAAAAAACTGAAAACAACCTCGTCATCCATAGAGTCAGGTCACCAAGACCTCTACATGCTTTGCTTCTCGACTTCTCTGAGAAGGAATGTGGGTGGCCTTCTCTGCGCAGCGGTCTAAGGCCTTTAACTTTAACTTTAACAACAACAACAACAACAACCACAACCACAACCACAACCACAACAACAACCACAACCACAACCACAACCACAACCACAACGACAACGACAACGACAACGACAACAACAACAACAACAACCACAACCACAACCACAACCACAATCACAATCACAACCACAACAACAACCACAACCACAACAACAACAACAACCACAACAACCACAACGACAACGACAACGAGTCCTACAGGAGGGGCTTGCATATCCCCCGATAGTCACAAAGACTATCAAAAGAATGGTCTGAGCAACCACTAGCGAACCTGTGATCATTGTTGTTTTGTTTGTTCCTGCTTCCCTGATTAGTTGGAGACCCTTTCGCTTTTTGGTTTGGCCTGCACTCTCCTGGGAGCTGCAAACTGCCTAGTGAATACAGGCCCATGCACGATCGCTTCCACCAGAGCCACCCCGAGCACTGAGCCCCCCGCAGTCGTCCCTCTAGCGTCTTGTAGCGCATCCATGCGAGCCTGGTGATGAGGCACGGGTGATCAGTCAAACAGTGAAAAAAACATCACGGACATCCTAAAAGTCCATAAGTCTATAAGTTCTAGCCACTGCAGTTGATGCTGGCACTGCATTTTTTCTGTAGTAAGTCCGGGAGATGTTCTACTCGCGTAGGCAGACATCATGACATGTGTTACTCACCTCACACCTCCAATCCAAAATGATATGTATCCCCACTTGCAGTACATGAGGAAAGCTATCCCCCTCAGATGTGGCTGACCCTGCTGGAAGCCTGAAAGTTTTGCCAAAGTTCATGGAGGGTGGGGACAAACATGCACCAGGTGAAGGAGCATGCGCACTTGTAGCTTCGTTTGGCCAACACGACTGGTAGCTTCTTTCTCCCCAAACCGACCAAACCGACATGACCAACGTCGGTTTGACCAAATGGTCGGTGACCAAACGCCACGGCCAAACCGACGTCGCCTTGCCACGGTCTTTGTGTCCGACAACGCTGGACACTCCACGGTCGGTGGCGATGCCCGACACGTCATGCCAAGAACTACTAGTCGCCTCGATTTACGCCAAATAAGGCCTCGCCAGACACGTCTTCATCCACATCTGGCGGGTCTACTGAATCATGACCCGCATCATGGCCGATTCCAAAACAGGAGTCCCACTAGAGAAGGGATCAAACCATGTATAGGTTGCGTCTATCCGTCTATCCTTTTAATTACTATTACCAGTAACAGTGGATGCAGGTTGGTTAAGGTTGTTTATTGTGATTTGCTATGATTTGCTTGTTTACTGACTGCTACAGGTAAGTGCGGACAAACCCAAATAATACCTGGATCTTCCAACTATGACAAATTAATGAAGTTTCATCCATAAAAACAAGCCAACAGGCAGACATTTGGCATAGTTGGAAGATTCAGGTATAGGTCCGTAGATATCCTGATCTTTAGATTCTTTCAGCCAGCAAACTTTGGAGCACCCACTCCCACACTCTACGCTTCTCTACACTTTACACATCCCCGCACACGGCCCAGACACTTGCGGCCTCCAGGTTCACGCCGTGCATCTGCCGCCCACCTCGCAGCACTTCCTTCTCTTCCAACAAGGCGGCCAAATCCTCAGCGCCGCCGACCAGGACCCCCCTGGGCGGGTCGGCCACGCGGCCGGGTTCTGACACGGGTGAAGGAGGGGAAGACGAAAGGAGGCGAAATGACATCATGATGGTGAAGTATTGAGTTTAGTCTCCGTATGTTAGTCAAGACCTGGTGAAGTTATTGGGTTTAGTATGTTTAGTTCTCCGTGTCAAAAGAAACCTGACTGAACATGTGAACTGAACATGAGCCCTCGCCAAGTCCATCTGCAGCTCCATTTCTGGCGTAGGGAGTAGGGACATTCGCCCTTCGCCCAGCAGTGAGACATGAATAGTGAGACATTCGCAATATCAACAAAGGCGCAAGTGCAGCATTGGCAAATGCACCATCTTAGAAGGAAAAGCCTGAGGAATCTCCTCCATCTTAGAGGCGAAAACGATTCAACTCAAAGGCCACAAAAAGTAGAATGGGAGCCTTCTGGACAACGTATGTCCCTTGATTCATCCCGACAAATCGGACAATATATAACTTGGACAATAGGATTCTCACTTGGGGCGTGCGCAGAAGCATCAAACATAAATAATAATCATAATTACTGAACAGTTCGTTGTTGGATTGTTTTGCCACACCCTAAGGAGCTTCATGAAGCTTAAATCCGACTCTCAATTCCCGTCACACGCCTTCGTGGGATGGCGCAGGTCTGCCGCCCGCTCCACCAGCGCCTCGATCCCTCCGCCGAAGCACTGTCATCCGGGTGTCTGCCTGAGCACCTTCGATGTCGGCGTTCTGCAGGGAGTTGCTCTGCGGACGATTGCCTGCGGGTATTGTGCGGTTTTGGGAATTTTCTCACCACCCGACTCAGAAGTAGACCCATGGTCGCTTGGATTTGGTGTTTTTCCTCAACAAACATTTTGCCCTCTTCCACTTTCATGAGAGAATAGGAGGAACACAACACTACCCCACTAACAGGGACTATGACAACTTTGAAGTCAGCAAACCTGGTGGAGGAAACCTTTCTAGGGAAAACGTGGGGTGTGCGCTCCCTCATGTACAATTGGACCCTCCAAAACTGTACCAGTATTGCAAAATTAGGTTGTTGGTGTCTGCAGTCAATCCGCAAACCCAAAAAACGGACACCCAAAAATGCTGCCCAAATGGGGTTGTATATGCATATATAAGCGCGACAAACTTCAGTTGTCTCTGCTGCATGTCTTTGGGTCCTTCATGTTTTTTTTTGTGTGTGAAGTTCTTGGTCGAGACTGAAATTAAGTTGTTAGTTGCGGCCTCGGGAAAGCATGACATCGATTCTTCCAAAAGTAAAGCAAATATCCATTTATGCAGTTGTCCCAAGCTATAGTCATTGCCCACCAGCACCAGCAAATCATTTGGAGGAAGAAACAATCACTTTCGGACGAACACAGGGTCCGAAACAATGGACAGGCTTGGAACACATATTGGAAGATAAAATACGACTTCCACACCAGGGTGGTTGCTACAGGAACCTGACAAAGTCATCCCTTTGTCATAGTCACCCCTTGCCACTATTTCAATGCCAAATCACCACGGCAACACTGTTTCGACATTGTCTTTTGCCTGTATTGCCATGTTGACGTGTTCCCGAATATGTCCGACATGTCCCGAGGCGACCTGACGACCGATGCATGTGACGTCATGAAACCTGTCGTCTACGACCTCCAGGTCGCTCGTCAAAACGGCGGGTCCGGACCCGCCGACTCTCGGGTGAGTGACGGGACTCATTTGGTCCAAAGTCGAACCAAAAGCACCGCATGGATCATTTTGTTGAGTACATGTTGTGCCTCACAAAGTGTTATTACATAACTATTACTGTATACGATATTGTAATTTATAAGCATGAAACCGTCCAAACAATAACCCCTCCAAAAGTATCCAAACGTACCGATTGCTGTAGTTAACTTAACATCTGCCAAACTTCAAGTATCTAAGTATTTATCCACAGCAAATTTCAAAGTGTGGCACGCACTTTATGTTTGTCCTTTTCAAAGGCTTCAAAGAACCCCAACTGCCAGCCACACGTTGCAGCGTTGCAACGGACGACAGCCTGGTGGGCCATACAAGTGCACTGGCAGTACTCCGACGCGCCGTCGAGGCTGGGCGCCAGGGACATCCTCCGTGCAAAGGTTGAACTGCGGCTCTCCTGAGCATCTGAGCACTGTGACGATGGCGAAAACCTTCGCCAGTACGCGATCTCTTCTGGTGGTGATTGGAAGACTTACTGCACAGCCTATAAAATTTGACACTCAGTGGATCTTGGCATTGCAGCTTTTTGCGCCATGCAAATACCTAGTATCTAAAATGTTTGATCGTTCAAACCTGACAAACTCAAGACTCCCTCATGCCAGGCAAATCCTCGGTCACGTGGGGCGTCCGTAAACATGCCGACAAAGAGTCGGCAGAGTTCCAACGATTGGTTCCCAACAATCCATGTATGATCCGTCTATGTATACCCTAGGGGTTTTGGCGGTACAAACCCCTGTTATAGAGGGTTCGACCCATTCTATGGAGGGTCCAAAGGTCCTTCGGGTATGGAAATTGACCTATGACCCTTAAAACCAGTTTTCAAGCCACCTTGACCTGTGAATACGTCATACATGGATGAATATGGGGGTTTCACCTTTTGAGGGGCTTTGACCACCTGCATTGCCTTCGCCTTCGCCGATGCCACACTCATTTTGATCCTCCTCCGATGGCGATGAAAAATCAAACAGTCCGGTCACTCGCGGCGAGTGGTCCACCTTCCATGTTTGTAGGGAGGGTTTTGTGTACAGTAATGACATTGAATTATATAAATCAAGTTATTGGATGGCTCCTGAGGTTGAGCTGCAGGCGTCAACAACAACGTAGGGAGCGGGAGCCCACACTCTGACATTGGTTTGCTGTTAACTCAATTCCCACGTTGAGAAGGAAGGTGAGGGAACGGCATGGCGAAACGGTCGGCAAGAACTGTATGGTTGAACAATGTTTGCACTCTGACAGTCAGTGTGGTTGCAAGTCAGCTGCAAGTCTCCGGTGAGAAAAGGTTTTGGGGTCTATCGTGCAAGGACCATGGAAACAAACCGTGGAAGAGTGGAGTAACAGCGTGTGAACAACTCAGCAGGTACGTCGATTTGGCGTCCCAAATCGATATCACCAGCACGCATCCAGTGTCTTCGTTGGTGCAAGACTGGATGGGCTGCTTGCACCCCCTGCTTGTGAAATGGACCAGGGAAGTAAAACCACATCCTTTGGAACAGGGGTTGACAAACACACACACACCAAGTGCACCGATCATTTCACGGTCGGGCCGCCGGACCAGTGCAGTCCCCGAAGCACCGAGCAGGGAAAGCAGCCTCCCTCCGAAAGCACCGCAAACAGCAGATGTGAGGGCAAACCGTGTCCCAAGTCTCCTTACAGTAGTCGGTCCGTGTCGTGCCGTCTCCTGCTTGTATTAGAGCTTTGGAATTCTATGAATCATGCAAAGCGGAGAGAAAAAAAATGATAAAACCACTTGTGCCTGTGGCCTCCTCACCAGCACCACCCCCAGCAGCACCACGGTTTTCTCTCAAGTCTCAAGTGCCGCAGGGGGAACGAGTTGGTGTCGCGTTTTGCAGGCGAGCATCCATTGTCTCGGATCTCTGTTTTAGGTTTGCTGCCATCTATGAAGCCCACTTCTTCGCACTGCGTGGGGGGCGGGTGGTCTCCCAGATCATGCCTCTCGCATTGAAAGCGGACGTGCATGGAGGTCCCTGCTTCAGCCACCGGCAAATGGTACCTCAGGCACCAGGATCTGTCCGGTAACGGCAGAACACAACCACACTTCATCGATCCAATGTGATCCCCTAGGGATCCAAGTACCTTCTCAGAAGGTGATGTGTTCGACACTGTTGTGTAGGTTTGGAGGGTCCAGTCGTACTAAACCCGAGAAATCACTTGGACCCTTCGGGATCTATGGCGACGCCTGGGTGGACACTGTTCCGTGTGCCCCGGGTGGTTGGAGTTCGCTGGGTCGCGGGTAAAGGCGGACCTTCTGTGCTTGGCGCGTTCAGTGGATCACAGTTCGAGCGACCACTATTCGAAGAAGAACTTCTGGGTCGTTCACTAAAAAGGAGTTTAACTTTTATTTTTTAAATGTGTCTTGCGTGTCTTGAGGCCGAGGTACCATGCAGGATCACAGCCAAAGGGTAGCCTAACTTAACATGACACGAACTGTTTCATCTTTTTCCTGGACTGGGGGAAGTTCCAATTGTCAGATGCACTTCCCCAGCTGATAGAGTGGCCAGCACGCACTCTTCCCACCCAAACCAGCCTACAGCTGTAAGCATCGCTTATACAGTAAATGAAATGCCATTTGCCCCCCCGGGTCCATCCCCTGCACCACCCAGCAAGCTAAACACATCCAAGTACTATCAGTACTTGTACTCCAAAAGACCAAATGACACCATCCTCCAGTCTTGCGCACCATTTTTTTGAAACCCGCACCCCAGGCATCCCATGCGATTTTTTTCTCAAACAGCTTCCTGCCTTGGGCTCAATGGATGCCCTTGCCGCTGTCCAACCTTCAATGGATTCACCTCCCAGCGCTCCAGCCCTGCGCGCTCAGAGGCGCGCGGGCCGCGCGCGGAGAGGCTGCCAGTGTTCAGCAGGCTGGCAGAGGCGGCGGCCAGAACTGAGTGGTGACGAGGGTTCCGGAACCTGGGCAGAGTTCAGAGTGTCATGCATGGATGTGCATGAGTGGCTAGATGATGTAAGTGGATGTTAGTGGTACAATGCATGATTGTACAGTGAAGATCTGGATCATGGAATTGCCGGGTTTCCAAGCGCCGAGGTTGCAAACTGGAGGGGTCTTCTTGCGTAGAGCAAGTTGACACTGAAAATCATTGAATGGACGACAGGGTACCACCGAGTCCCATCAATCAACATGCTCCGCAAATACTCCACACCAAAGGCTCACTCTATGAATCCTGCCACGTTGAAGAACCAGCATGCATGGTTGAATTGTGAGGAATAGAAGTTCACAGCTGAGGAATTCTGTTACCAGGTCCATTTTGTTTACAAGCATTTACCAGCATAGTAACAAGACCTGCAGTAATGGACACAAGCTCGACTTGACAGACCGGGCGAGGTTGCCTTGACCACAACAAACCCAAATGAAGTTGACACTCCAACTCACGTCCCACGGAAGCTGAACACATCTCCTGAACACGTATGACGAACAGCTGGTGAACTCCACTTCCGTCAGAGTATGTCTGGGACCAAGCTTGCCGATGTGTTTCACTTAGCCTATATCAATCCGCCTCCATGTTCCATGCTCAATCCACTTCCATGTTCCACTTCTCATGTGGAGAAACTCGTCCTCAATCTTCATGGGATCTTGCGGGACGCTCTTCGCCTCATCTGCTCGTGACAGGACAGCTCAGAATGCTCGACTGGGGAACTGTTGATGCAAATTCCAGGACTCCCACTGCTAAACGAGCCATCTGAATGTTGACCCACAGTGACGTACACAGATTGTTAGAACTGAACCCCCACCTTGACAGAGCACGTCAGTATCTGTTTTTGTTGGTTTATGCCGACTACACCAATTATATACTTGAAACTACATTGCACCAATCATGGAAGTGGATGGCAGCCAGAAGGATTACCATGTTCTGCAAAGAGGTCCACCTTCTCCACCACCACGATACAAAAACCAAGCCAAGAATGGATAGAAATGATTTTTGGAATGGAACTTTTGGCTTGTAAATATTGATATCTCTTTACATCTCTTTACACCCTGATTACCCGTACTGGAACGATGTGCTCATGTGTTAATCCTCAGAACTTAGGTCTCCAACTGTTCGATCCATACCCTATTATAGCTACGCTACACTCTGACTCACTAACATGGAAGTGGAAAGCCCCCTGTCGGTAGACGATGGTAGACGAGGAAAGTAGTGTTCCAAGGAACCATTGTCCACTTCCATGTTAGTGAGTCAAAGGGTAAGTCGAACATGGAACCTGGTGACTTGCTTGGGATCAATGGTCATCCAGCTCAGCCACCCCTGCCAACCATCCCTCTATCCATGGAGCCGGCAGTGGATGAGGCCACGTCCCCTCAATGTCCGAGCAGTCCATTGCACAGCGCCCTGGTAGCATCAATGGATCACAGGGCGGTACATGCCTGTAAATACAATTCAACGGCCTAAACATTCGGAGTACCCGATTGACTGTAAATGTCCAATAGTCGGGGAGGTATGGCCACAGTGGTTGAACATTGGAGTATTCAATTTAAACACCCCAAATCCTTCAACTACTAATGCAGACCACCCTGAGACTTCGATGAATTGCTATATTGTTTTGTTTGGATTTATTCGGATTAATAGACCTTCTTCACACGGCTATATAGTTATGTTAATCAAGAGTCTACATTGCAAAACAAACGTTGATCATGATTGATCCTACATGATTCCACAAACCCTGGCCACCCCTGCCCCCCCACCAAAACACCCTGTTTTCACCATGTTTCACCTATACTGGGGAGGTCGCTCGACTCAATTCTTCCTCCAAAAAGCACCTGGCCACCATTTGTTCACCTCGAAACTCCCGGAGCGAGACCGAAACCCGCACGTTCGCGGCGCGCTCTTCAGCCCAGCCCAGCCGCCTGTGGTGCGGAAGTCCGGCTGCACAGGAACCTCTGAAGAGGTGAACTGGTAGCTGTTCGTCCTGAGGGAGCCCGAACGACTCCAGGTGCCGACCCCCCCGACTCGCGGACCCACCGGGTCAAAACGACCGAACGAGAGAGGGGCGACGTGGGGTCTGACCGTTCGGCCGGGGCGACGTGGGTGGAGCGTTGGGGGCGAGGTTTTGGGTTTGCATGCAGAAATGTTCAGTGTCAATACCCTTGGATTGGGGGAACCGGTTCTTGGAATGCTGGAAGCTAGCAGCTAGAAGCGCGATGTGCTTTTCACCAGCCAGAACACAAAGGGCTTGATGGATGCCTTAATTAATTAAGAACATGAACCCCGAAAATCTCGAATGCAAATCAATCACATCTGCTTAGTCTACTTGCTCAGTGTTGGTATACATGCGTTTATACTTGGGTGTTAATCTGGTGGCTCTGCTTTCGGCTTTCCGTGTGCTTGCTCGCTCGTTCGAGCCCAAGCCCTCCCCAGCCCCACTCCCTGATGCCGGAACGAGCGTCAAGAGGTCCACGATGCAGTTGGACCGGCGACGTTCACTGACGATGGGCTTCTTGGGTTGAGCGTAGTCGATGTCCGAGGTCTTCAACGACAAGTCTCCTAGGAGCCCAGGAGCGCCCCGAGCCGCGTGGACCCAAGCCGAGGAGGGCGTTCCACACCCGAGTTCCGCTGCGAGCTGGAGGAATGGTTGGGTATAGGTTGGGTAAAGGGTACCCAAACACCCAGGGTCCAGTGGATGATGGTTCAATTGCAGGCTTGTTCATCTCTAAAATATTGATTTGCTTGTGAACCCGACTGTTGTAGGTAGTGGGACAAACCCAAGGTATATATAGGTATCATTAGATATCAGCATGTTTCAGCTATAGATCGTTGAAGGAAGCCCTCAGCTATAGATTGTTACTAGTAGCGATGCACTTGCTACTAGTAGCTAATTCCATGTATGCCTTCGTCTACCGCCCTGGCACCACCCCGATCGCCAGTCCGCAGTCCCAGACGTGTCCAGCCCAGCTCGTCCCGCTGACTCCAAAGGACTCACCGGGTGAACATCTTCCCCTGTGACGAACTGAGGAACCCAACGACGAGCGTCCGAACTCCTCAAACATCACCGAAGCATCCTTCCAAGTGAAAATAGTGAAATCCAGACCGTTTCGAGGGATTCCAACTCTGTTTCATCTTGCGAACTAATAGGCCAAAACATGCCAAAGCCAATTGCTTGGGGTTCCCATCGCTTTGAAGCGCCATTCCTTGGCACCGGACGCCGCACGGCGCACGCGCAGAAGACCACTGCCAAGCTTCGTGGTCGACGCTTCACTGGAGGATACAGCGGGTTGGAACGGCTCTTGGGCACCTCTTCCTTGTGGCGGTCGAATGTGTCGGAACGGCGTCATGGACGGCGTCGCGGCGTCAACGTTGCGGAAGAACCCGAGTGATTGACTCGCCTTCCGCCCTCGCCTCCGAGTGAAAAGAGGTGAAAAGTATATGGGGTGAACAGGGAATGGGGTGAGAAGACTCCATGTGAGAGCCTCTCATGGTGTGGAAGGATGGCGTGAAGAACCGGTGTTGTGTCACACACTCACGGTGCGGACTTTTTGTTCGGCGTCCGGACGTCTGGGCACGGCGCTCCGAATTGGGCGTCTGGACGTCGGGTCGAGCTCCCCACCCCTGTCACCTGCACCGCCCAGCGTCCAGCGGAGGTTTCTGCACGTCTTTCCAGGGGATCGGTGCTCCCGTGAAGCTGGTGGGATGTGACAATAAGGGCTGCGCTCGGTCTAAGTCCTCCGTCAGCAGCGAGCGGTCGTAGTCCTGCGTCCGGCGACGGCCGGGGACAACGAGCGCTGGAGAGCGTCAGGGCCGCCGACCTCGTGGATTGGAATTGAAATGGTATCTCAAAACCTCTCAGTGTCTTTGTTTGTTTTGCGTTGGAGATGACCGCTTCTTTTTGATGTGGTGTTATTTGATTATATTTGATGGTTATGGCTTTCCCACACTAGTCACGAGTGAAGAGCTCCTTTGTGTCTTCTTTCTTTGACCAATGAGCTGGTGGTTCGCGTATCCATAAACATGTGTACCATCATCTTGAGAGAAAAATTCTGAACCTCTGTTAGTGGCCTGAAGATGTAAGTAAAATTCATAACCCCCTATTTTTCCAGGTGAGAGGCTTTCTCGTTTTTTTGACGTTCGTCTCTATATATAGGGCACATGTGTTTTCGGAGTACCTTCCCCTCAATGGACACCAACCAGGGGACTGGACTCTTCACCGGATCAGTGTGGGGTTGGTGGGGATCCCAACCTCTACGCCGTCTACGCCAGTCCGTCCACTCCTTCCCATCGGCTCGTTCCTGGGTTCTGGGATCCGGAGCGAGTTCTGGACCGAGTTCGCAAAACGGTTGGGATGGGTAAACATGAAGTCCCAAACACTGTATATTGTACTGTATCTCCTGACCACACTCCATGGGACTGCCAACTGCCATTTTTTATGCCTCATGCCTTGACACCCAATGTATACACCCCAATTGATCGGCATAGCCTTAGGCAGTCCCATGGGTCGTGTCTGGGTATTATACCAACATGGAGTATTTATGATGAAACCTACAGGCGTCCACCCGATTCCAAGAAAGCCTCAGTGATCGGGTTTCTTGGGTCATCCGTCACACTAACAATGAACACCTGCCACCATGTCCGACCATGTCCACGTCCACAGGACATGCACAGGACTCCACCATGTCCTTGTGGAATTGAAGTGGCCCTGGTGGCACATCAAGCTTGCTGATGACATCCAAAGCCATCCCTTCATGTCGGGCAGGACATCTGGCATTCTCATCCCGGGCGTAGGGGCAGCCTGCATGGCATCGCTCAATACATTGCCAAGGAGCTACAGCAGCCCTGCGTTGCTTGGTTGCTTATAGTGGGTTGATATGGGTTGATAGTAGATGGCACAATACCCCAATATGGACACCCAACCCAAAAGACATCTTGGAGGTTGTGCCATCTCCTCTGAAACCAATGTACGAATAGTTGAATCTAAACAAGTCTCGTCTCGCTGATTGACTACAATCGCAGTGTTCAAGAATCTTTTGGGTCTATGTCTGTCCACATATAGAACCAAGTCCTGGAGGTTTAGCAGAATTATAGTCGCAGGAATAGCATGGAATATCCTTCTTTATGAATAGGATGACAAACCTTGGGACTCTATGAAATGCCGAACCACTTTGAAATACATAGAACGAGGTGACCAACCTTGAACAGCAAAGTCACGTGAGTCTATGAAATTCCCAATATAAAGTTCTATGTGTGGATAAAGCTGGAACATATTCTTATTCTTTGTGAAATTACAATCCCACTGACCTTCGGCAGTATTAGTGTGGACATGTGTGGACATATTTTGTGTATTTGTGCGATGTTGTGGGATGTTTGGGAAATCCGTGTTGATGATTTGAGTGTGGGTAGGATTCTCCACTATCATCTACTGGCTCACTCTTCCTCTTGCATCTTCGGTTCAACCTGGTTCTGGCATTTGGGATCTAGGCCTTTCAACGCTTTGGATGCTTTTGGGAGGATGTACGGATAGAAGTGGGTCGGCGTTGGGAGGTGGATCGATGAGAGGTGATCGTCAGCTTCGAAATGACAACAGCTTTTGCAACACAATTCCTGCAACACATCCTTAGAATGTGCCGCGCAGTGCATTTTACTTGCATAGAATTATAGATATAGAGATATATACATGACGATTCCACTTCTATAACCAACATGCTCAAGCTAGGCCAAATGAGCTTCTCTATTAATTGGCATGAAATCGATGTCTTATCTTGCATGACGTGACGGATGACCATGGCTTGAACACGACCACCTCTACTACAGACTACCATGGCTTGGGCAATTTTCATGACCCTCACGATCAGGCTGAAGGGTCTATTACTGGCGATGGAGAAGGGGCTTGGCATTTAATGTCCAACCTCTGAGGCGATGGAGAAAGGCCACGCACCTTTACGTTAAACGTGCGCCTTTAGCACAAAACCTAGACACTCCATGAAACTGCGATAGGACTGCCTATCAATTGACCCCGCTTTCACCACCCCAATTGATCGGCAGTCCTATGGCAGTCCCATGTGTCGTGCTTGGATGTGTTTGGGATGGTTCGTCCAAGCCTCAGTCACGGCCTCTGAGGTCGTCAGTTCGTCTCTTTTACAGTCGACTCCCTGAGGTTTCCTGAGGTTCGACTCGACTCGACTGAGAGACTTCCACCCAGCTAAGAAACCGACCAAACAACCAGCACATGGTTCGGTTCATGACGCGAACACCTCAGGTTCGGGCCCACTGATGTTGTTTCTTTCAGTGGAATTTCGCGACATCCACGATATCCACCATCCAATATGCCCCGATGTTCAGCATTTTTCAGCATTCCTCCTCGGGGTCATCGGGGTCATGATCCGATCCAGCACGGAATCCTCCCCACTTCCAAACATCAAGCAGCATGAAACATTCTCCAACCACTCCCAGTTCGACCCCCTGGAAGCAGGGAAATAGACCAAAGCTGGGTCAAAGTGGGTCTCCCTAATTACTAAGATACTAAATGTCATTCAATCTTCCGGTCCCTGAAGGGCCCCTTCCGGTCCCTTCCGGTACCCTTTGGTCATAGACCTCCCCACCTTTTTCCATCTCCTTCTTCGTCATCTCAGAAATCTTCGGCCGCCCACCAGCCCCCACCGTGGGGATCTCCTTCGGCGGGGTGTCGCCCCGTGAGAGGCCGCCCAAATAGACGCTGCCATGCTTCATCACGCAGGAATGCTTGGCTTAGGCGAGTTCACGTGCTGCAAAGCGGTGGGTGAAGGCGTGGAGGCTGTGAAAGTGGCTATAGTATAGTTGAGTAAGTATAGTACTGTTAGATACTAGAGTTTAAAATTGTTTGAAATGAGCATGTGTGACAAAAGCCTGGTAGCTTTGAAGGGTCAAACTTCATGGATTTGACGTTCCCAGCTCTTTGACCTGACATCGACCGTGAGAGAAGCAGTTACATGCAGTTACGACGGTCACCATTGTCTCCTGGCCCAAAGCTTGATCTCATGAAAAGAGAGGCCTTGAGGTAGGGACCCACGTACTGATCCTGAGGCCTTATCCTGAGCCATTCAGTCTTGACGCTTCCACCGCAGTGGTGTTTTTCCTGCGGCCACGTCCCAGAATTCATATTCTCCAGCCATCCACAAGTTTGAACTGGACGACGCCCTGACCACGCGATCGGTCCTTTTCTGTCGGGTGAAGGTACGCGTGGCGTTGCTCCACCATGCTTCCATAAACTCAACTCGACTCTTTCAAAAGAGCGGTGACAACTCTCAGCAACGCAAAAGCGTTGCCGACCAAGATCACAAGATCAATATGCTTAAAAGTGGTCGGATCTCTGTTCCGTAGAACAGCAATCGACTCAAACAATAGGCAAACGATTGGAAAAAGAAAAAACAAAATGGATCCTTGTTGAAACACTGTTTTCAATAGTTTCAACTCTACATCAAGAAAACATCGTGTGAGTATCCTGGCAAGCGCGGCTCGCTCACCAGATCAAAAAAAGTGACAATCTTGCTGCCGATTTTGCTTGCAAAAATGGAAATCCACCAGGAAGTCCCCTTGGGAGCCTTGCAGTTGATCTTTGACAATGACACGGGAGGCAACCTCTTCTTCCATACCATACTGAACCTCTTCTTGCCTGAAAAGCCCACCTAAATATCCTACCACCACAATATTCGATATCGAAAAGTGGACTCTAATGAGTTGGTTCAGGATCCATGAAGCATTTCCAAAAAACAACACTCCATGTACTACTCCATGTATGGAATATGTTATACCATGTTATACCTACATGGACCCCTTTCAACCCTTTCAACCACCCTAAGGAGTGTTTAGGTTCGGTCTTTGGACTGCCCCCAAGCCGTTTGCTTTCGGACAAAACGCGTTTCGGTTGACCTGGTTCTTCCAACGCAAAAAAACAACTGCGGAAAGACCATGCGCACTCCTCGGAAAGGGGTTCATTGATGTGACAGGTTCTATCGGACATTGTAGGTGATGCTGGTGATGCTGGTGACTCAAATGATTCCCATCCTGCAGGCCCCGAATGACCTAAGCCAGCACGCAGGGGCCGAATGTAATCAGCAGTTTGAGACAGTGCCCCGACGCCAGAGCTAGAATGGACAGCGGAGAATTTACGTCGTAATGGGTCTCAGTTTTAGGACCCCGACGATCTCTGTTTACTTCATTTTCTTCGATTTGATTTCGTTCGACCAAAGGGTCGCTCTGAGCACCACATCTTCTGGGTCGCTAGGTGGTCATCCCCCAAAAGCAAAACACCACGACTTCCGGCCGTTCATTCCTTGAGATCTGATCCGGGTGTTTGTTTCCTTCTGGAGCGACCCTCCGGTCCAGTGAAGGACGCCTTCCACACCCCACTTGCGAAGTAACAAACATTCAGGAGGCGTGGAGACCTCAGCTGGAGACCCATCATCAACATTGCATCGGAGGAACGATTCGCATCGATTCGCAACAAATGGAGCAACCAAAAGTGGGTGGTGTTGACAAAAAGCTTTGACAAGCTCTAACGTCCAACATATATGTCTTATAAGAGACACATTTGATCATATGTGCTATGTGTTCCCTTCTTGGTTGGCTTTGAACTCCAAGGGTCTCAGTCTCTCCATCCCACAACCATGATATCTCTACCCAGATCATCGGACAAAAGCGTTTGTGATTTGACATGGGGATCAACTAAATGCATCTCAATGCGTCTTGTGCCTCGTGGCCTCTTGAAAAAAACACAACTTTTTCGGGCTAAAAAACCGACCTCTTTCCATCTCGACCTCCTCTAGGCCCCTGGGTCTCCCTGCTGCACCAGGTTGCGAGGTGTCCCTCGTCCCTCATGCAGCAAAGTCCACGCCTTCGATTTTGTCCTCGCACTCCTCGAGTGAGGACGGATCTGAAGGACCATGTTGGTCTTGAAAGAAAGCACTTAAAACAAGTGAACACCTTACTAAGTAAACCTTGCTGGCATATCATATTTGTTGGGGCAACATGTGTAATTGTGTACCATCACACGGGTTTATCTATAGTTCTATAATGTTCTATATAACATCCTCATTGGGATAATGATATCCTACTCATACTCACTGCAACCGCAAACAATGATGGTACATCATAAATGCTTATCACGTGTTATCACGTTTTAGATATTGTATAAAATCTAAGACAATACGTAAACCCTATGCATCTTTGCTGAAAAGCGACCATTTTTTTTTGCTGTGTTGTTGTTTGATGATGCACCACAGAAGCCCCAACCAACGGCCGGCCCGCTGGGCCGAAGCTTGACGCTTGACCCCGTCCGGGCTGTCGGACAACGAAGGAGCCGGTTTAGGAGGGGCTTATGGGGAAACTTCAAGAACAACGGTTGAAGAAGAGTTCAGCAAGATCTAGCACCCCCCCGGAAAGTAGAGTTCAGCTATAGAGGTCTAGAAAGTGCTAAATGTGACAAGTTAATGGTTTCGCCAAGTGACTACGTGCACCATTGGATCTCCCAAGTTCATGGATCGCATTTCCGTGCATTTCCCCAAGCCATTTCAAGCCCAGTGAGTCCAACTCTGTCCTGGTAGACATCCCGCAGCTTCTGCAGGTTCTCCTGGTTTATTCGGTGGCGAAACGAGTCTCCATGACAGGCTGGTGCAGAAGAGGCGGGGCTTGGCCAAGCCAAGCATATATTTTGTCGCAGGGGGGACCAGCAGATTTGGAGCACCTCCTCCAGTCACACTGGATTCGTCAATGGACATTCCAACCCCGCCAAAACAGAAGAGGCGAATCAAGGTCACAACGGTGCCATAGTTCCGGACGATGGAAGGATGGGTTCCTCTCCTCTCCTCCCCAGAGACGTCCAGATCATCCGCCCACCGACCTACGGTTGGTTTCGACGTCCAGATATCACTCGCCCCCGATTCTCCTCGGAGGTGTCCCAGTACCCCTTGGCATTGGCCTCCAAAAAGGTTTGTACCTGGCATCCCCACGACGTACCGTGTGATGGCAGGTTTCGCGGTGAAACGCGCGTGAAACGCTGTGGTGAAACGCGGTGGGCGGCCTGGTGGGCGTCAAAGAACGACGGAAATGGATGGAAATAGCAACAAATATCAACCAAGAGTCACACAAGGGTGCTTTTTAGTCCCTAAGTGAGTGCATAATGGGCACCCCTATCCTCCATTGGGCACCCCTTTGTGACTCCTGCAACAAATGTTTAAGTGATGGTTAAATGTAAATGAATCAAATGATGTTAAATGATCTTAAATGGTCTCTCCATGTCTCTTCAAATGAGGCACATCATGTTGTTTCTAGCCGCGGTACTGTAGTGCCCCAACCTTCCTGGTGGTCTGGGCGGTGGTTCTGCTGTTTTCACCTGGTGGTCTTTCGTCAAAGCTGCTGCCTGTGGTCCCAAGAGGCACCATGTCTCGGAGCGCATCAGGATTGGCCTGCAGCATCCTGTCGCACCCGGGGCGCGTACCGGTTCGGCGAGTCGAAACATGTAGAGTAACACCTGGGGGGGTCATTGGTGATGCACCTGGCTGATTGTAGCCCCAAATGAAGGAATCTCCAACCTATCAGCTATTTGCGATCTTCTTCGTAAGCTGCGGATACGAGTACGTATTGTTTGGGGCATCATTTTGGAGAGGACCATTGAAATCACAAAAATGTATAAGGCGAACGGAAACACGTTTCCACAAGGCAAGGCGTAGGAGGCTTTCCTACTCCGCTTCGCATTTACGAAACCCAAACTTTCCTGATCTTTCCTGTCCTTACACCAAATGCCCCATGTCCAATATGATCGGTGTTGTGTCGACAAAGGTCTTAGATTGTCCCTTACTGGAGCTAAGAATACTAGCCGTGAAATCTTCAACATATTTTCCCGGATCAATTCATGTTCCCATCACTCTTGCAAAAAGTTCGTGTGACCAGGAAATCCATGCGTACTTCCTTTCAATGAGCTGTTGTTGCGCGAGATCCCGCCTGTTCTTGATTTCTTCATCCTGGATGTAGGTCCTTGGTATCACGCAGTGGAAACCGCCGCGGTGGAAGCCCGCCGCGGAGGAAACCGACCAATCCTCCCGTGAAGCGATCGATGTCTTTTCAGCTCTTTCGAGTTGAAAGATAATGGATGTTGATTCAGCTTACAACACCCAAACACGACACATGGGACTGCCATGGACTGCCGATCAGGCCAGGGGTGGTGAAAGGGGGGTCAACGTAGGCCACATGGAGTGTTTGCCATATGACATACATGGAGTGTTTAGGACAAGAAGTTGAGCTCACCATGGGCGCAGTCCAATGAGGAATATGTAGCTGTTTGAAACAGGCATCGAAAAAGAAAGAAAACGTCTCCAACTCTTCTGGGGAGGTCAAGTCGAAAGAAAGTGCCCTGGAACGCCAATGGCCCAACCATCAAAGATCTGCCATAGTAGGGATCCACCAACGTAGGATCCCCATGGGTTTTTATCCCGTCAACAAATGTTTTGTTCTTTTCTTGCCAGGTTACGTGTTGCAGTCCTCGTAGACAAAGTTGTCCACCTGAAAGAAGAGTGAGAGAGTTGTCCACCACAAATCAAACAAACACAATTCCTGACGCCATTCTTTAAGGCTGTACTATATATTTTAATGTATAGACTCGTGATTAGTGCGACCTCCCCACTAGTCGAATCCACGAGACTCCTGATTACTGATCGATTCTGGAAAGATCATGAGGAAATCAAAAGGAATCAACAGGAAATCATAAGGAATCAACTGACATCAAAGTGAATCAAAAGGAATCAAAAGGACATCAAAAGGAAACCAAAAGGAATCAAAAGGAATCAACCGGAAATCAACAGGAACTCAAAAGGAATCAAAGGAAATCAAAGTGAATCAAAAGGAATCACAAGGACATCAAAAGGATTTAACAGGAAACCAAAAGGAATCAAAAGGAATCACAAGGAAATCAAAAGGAACCAACAGGAATCAACGGGAAATCAACAGGAATCAAAAGGAAACAAAAGGACATCAAAAGGAATCAAAAGGGTTTTACGTATATAAATAATATCAAAACGGTGTCAAAATAAAGAAAAATTAGATCTAAACAAACAACGCGCAAACATTATTGTAGGGGGTGATATTAATCAAAATTTCTAGTGTACTGGGCTACCCTCGTTGTGGAATAGATGTTTGCAATATTTTAAAGTAAGTTATATAAACCATAATAATTAAATACTTTCAACATAATCAATAGAGATCAAAACGAATCCAAAGGAAATCAATAGAAATCAAAAGGTTTTAAAGTAAATCAAAACGGATAAAAGTGCAGCAACAAACATAATAGACATTGTTGTAGGGGATTACATTATTGTAGGGGATTGTACTATTGTAACACTTAGGAAGACAAACAAAGTTTAATTCACGATGAAAACCATAGACATTATTGCAGGAGACGCTAATCAAATAGTAAATTATATCTGAACTGTGCAAAAAATAAAAACACAAACAAAACACACATAAACATAAACAACATAGTTGTAGTTGTATCTTAAACGAAAGTTATTATATTGTTTTTAACAAATGGTGCACACATTGATCACAGGGGGGTTATTAATCGAACAAAAAAACGGTGCAAACATGTGCAAACATTAATATGGGGGGGTCACTATCAGCATTGAACATGACCCCCAAGTATAGTAGTAGATATTATATATATAGAAAAGTATAGAAAAGTAGATCTCCACTCAGAATATATTGGAAAGCGTGCCAGTAGCACTATCTATTTGGGAACCACTAGAATCACATGTATTTTTTTCACCTTTGCTCCCCACATCTTCTGACCTTCTGGTGGATTATGTGTGACCTTCCTGCCGACATCTTCCTATGACGCCGACATAAATGGGCATGATGATGGCAACCATCCAGAATATTGTGGAAAGGGCATGACTTTTGTTGGATATTCTCAGCAAATCTGCGAGAGTATCTGCGAGGCAGAACCCTTCCATCTTCATCAAGACCCAAAAAACAATCAAAAGGCCAGCTATTTTTATAAGTAACATTATTTAAAAACATAACTTCCCAATACTTCCCAAACACTCTCCATTATGATTCCTCAAACCGACGCAACTGATCGGCAAATATGCCAGTTCCAAACATCTCGTGGTATTTGGATCCCCCAAATCATCCCCCAAATTCTCCAACCTCCCAGAAAGCTCCTGCTAAACGTGTTTTGTGTTTTTCCAACACCAATGCTCCACGCCCCGCTCGCTCGTTCTGCTCCACGCTCGCTTCTTCGTGCTCAGGACGGGACGGCGTCTGCAGTGGTGCTCCAGCCGAAGGTGAAGCGCATGCGCTTGGAGATCTCTCGAACGCCCTCGTAGCCGCCGTTGAGGTTGGACTCGGAGGACGTGGCGGCATGCGGCCGCTCCGCGGCCGCGGGCGTGGAGGTGATGCCGGTGGTTGGACGAGGCTCAGGGATGGTGAAAACGTCGTGGATGTCTAAACAACCAGCGGTGGCACTTTGGGATTTGCGCGAGTACTATTGAGTTATGAGATAAGATTATGAGATACAAGAGATGAGTCATTACATTTGTTGATATTTTGGGCCATGTTGCTGTCACACGCTGCTACACCCTGTCAGACCCAGCCTCGTAGAACTTGGGGTTCAGGAGTTTGGTGCGGCTATCCAAACGCACCTGGCCCCATGGTCATGTGGAGCTCAGTCACAGACTCAAACCTGGGTTGGGTGGCATCTGTCTTCACCTCTGGACCGCCCTGCCTTCTGGGAAGCAAAACACCTTAAACCCATGCTGGATTCAATCTTGAACATTCAACATGTCCAGTTCAGGTCCTGTTGAGAATCTTCCAAGATCTAAAAAGGCTCTTGATCCATCTGAACTGCCCACTCTCTTGCCAAAACCGATGGCCTCCGGACTCTCGGCCATGCAGCGACTCGGTCGTCCGACCTTCCGACCTTCCACCCTTCCGCGACCGCGATGGTTGCCCCGCGCGATGAGAGGCGCCTGGGCGGAGAGTGATCTGACCTGAGCGTTGGCCGTGGTGGTGTCCGCGATCAGCGACGCAGGCTTCTTGCCGTCCTGGCCGCGATCCGCGGTCTCCGCGATGCGGAGGGACCGATGGGCGACTGGCTGGGTGGATCGAAGAGTCCAGACGAGGACAGGGAACAACCGGAGGACGGGGAACACCGGAGGCGGCCAGACCGCGAAGCGGAGAAAAAAACACATTGGAGATGAACTTGAAAGAAATTGGACAAAAAACATCAACTTAACTTGGAGGTGAAGAAAGGTGTAGGAATCCAGAACTCTTGTCTGACAAGATCTGACAAGAGTCAATGTCAATATGACATTCTGCAAATGGTTTACAGTGTTACAATGTTTTGCCAATCATTCCTTATTGCCGAACATGTGTATCTATGTTTTCCCGACGATTCGAGGGCCATAGGCTCCACGCCCCAGGTGCCGGTGAGCAACATTGAGCCACCAGGGCGAGATATGGCACGATGCCACCAACTCAATGACTCAAAAGGGTCGGGTCGGGCACCAGCATCTGGCAGCATGGAACCTGCAAGCCTGTATATAATGGATTCGTTGATCCATTGGTGCTTGAGAGTTGTCCATTCGAAAGGGCATCTTTGGCAGGCCAATCGTGGCACCTCAACTCCATCTCGCCAGAACGCCCAGGAATCAGGACCCGGACTGAGGGAGTCCGATGATGTACTCTTGATAAAACCATGATTCAACAAACAGCGCAAACAGGCATCTTCAGAGGTTTTGGGAGTCCATGTCTGTCTGGGGTTCAAGAGATGTCAAAACATGATAAAAAACCCAGGCCTCTTCAAAGGTTTTGGGATTCCATGTCTGGGGTTTATGAATCATCATGAATCATTATTAGTCATGGTCAAGATTGGTCAAGAGTCCTACATGATGCAACACTTGAGTCACCACGGTGAGTACCACGCCTTCCGAAGGTTGGACACCACCTTCGTGGGGTCGTTGTCGAAGTAGTGAGAGACATCCGTCAAGGAGATCTCGCTGCTATCCAAGTTCTGGAAGGTCACATCCACCTGTGCCACAAACAGGAGTGACACCACAGCCAACGTGGCCTGGCCCGATCATAGATGATCATAGGTGTTGAACCGGGGTGGTGAAATCCTCTGATTCTGGGTGGGACTTGAACATTCTTGCAATATTTGTACAGTGGCTAGGTTTCAGGGTTGACGAAAGGACATGCGCATACGCGCGCCATATGCGTGAAGCCAGCGGGTGTGAACGAAAGCTAGCCACTGCAAAGCAGCGACTCCAGCTAGCTGAGGCTAGCTTTCATGATCAGCTGGTGAGTAGGTAAGGCAATCTCATGAGCCACCATAGGGATTCTCTTTTGATAAAAAGATCCATTGTAATTAAGTAATTGCAATCGAGTTTGGCAGCAGCAGCAGCAGCAAAGCAGCAAGCAGCAAAGCACCAAGCAGCCGGAGCAGCAGCAGCAACCCCTCACCTGCAAGCCTCTCAACTGGGAGCCGCTCAACTGGAAGCCCCTCAACTGGAAGAAACTCAACTGGAAGGCATGCAACTGGAAGGCGTTCAACTGGAGGCCGTTCAACTAGAAGCTGCTCAACTAAAAGCCGCTGAACTGAAAGCCGGTCAACTGGGAGAAAGGCGCGCAACTGGAAGCCGCTCAACTGCAATCAAATGGAAGCCGCTCAACTCAAAGGCATTCAACTGGAAAGCGCTCAACTGGAAGTCAACTGGAAGACATTCAACTAGAAAGCGCTCAACTCGTAGCCACTCAACTGAGTAACTGACAGCCGCTCAACTGGAAACCGCTAAAATGCAAGGCGCTCAATTGGAACCCCCTCACCTGCAAGATCCTGCAAGCCGCTCAACTAGAAGAAACTCAACTGGAAAGCGTGCAACTGGAAGCCACTCAATTGAAAGCCTCTCAACTGGGAGCCGCTAACCGGAACCCTCTCAACTGGAAGCCGCTCAACTGGAAGCTGCTCAACTGGATCCCCGCTCAACTGGAGGCCGCTCAACATGTTTTTGAGAGCTTGGATCTTACACAGTGCCCGATAGCGGCCCAACCTCGGCACTCACTTTCCCGTGGTCCAACAAACATTTAGCAACCAGGTAACCAGGCCGGGTGAAACCCAAACCCTGCATCTTGGTCGATTCTGGGACTGTCCCCTCCACTGGAAGGGTACTATTGGGTCCTCCAAGAGAAAACCCCCGACATTCCAGCAGAGGTTGAAGAACCCTATAGACTATCCTATAGGTACCCTTTTAGGGTCCTATAAGGTCAATGTTGGTTCTGGGACAGCATCCTGTGGACGAAGTGGGGAACCAAAACGGTGATGAAGGTGGTCCTGTGAACCGCCTTGGCCCTGCAAAGGGCCCCAAACTCAGGCGGTGATGTGCTGCCCCGGAGGTTGGTGCTTCATAGATAAAGCAAGCAGTTAACAGTTATGTGATGGCAAAGATTGTAGTTGGTCTGCCCTGCAGTCTATCTGAGTTCGCTCCATTTGTCAGACAGGACGGTTTGCTATATAATGCATTACAATGCATGCTTGTACAAACCCAAGGTCGATACGATGCTAATACAAACACTGGCCATGATCTATCTATACTTGTGCCACTGCACAAGATAACTTCCTGCGATTTGGTTTGACAAAACAATTCACAGAAAACAACACCAATAAAAACACATAAAACATAAACATAAGAACGGTATATAGACATCTATGACGGCCAGTTGTATGATGCACCCATCACCCAGCCCGCCCTTGCCTTGCTGAGGGCAGACTTGAAAAGCCCGGAGGCTTCCTGGCGCGCGCGCGGGCAATGCGGCGCGCAACGCTCGGATAGACGCGCTCGGGCGTCTGACGGGTGGTTTTGCCATGTGTTCTACACTCGGACCAAAATTTGTGCACTTCCTTCCTTCCAAAAGGGGTACATTCCCGCATTTCCCTGATGGGATTTTGCTTGATAGAAGAACAGCGAACAAGCAAACAGCGCTTTCTGCAATCGAACAGTCCAATTGGTCCATGAAATTTCCCAAGCACACACCCGCACTCTCACCACCAGTGGCCCCTCGAAAGGCTTGACAACAGCGAGTTCCAATTCCGAATTCCCTTTATTCTTGTGGACACTGAATTGGACGTCCTCATTTCTTCTCATTTACTTCTCTATCGCACGTACACGTGTCGCATGGCCGGTGCCGGTCCGGGCCATCGGACCCGTCGCCTGCAGTTCTCCGGGGGCGTCGGAGCTCAAGGCGAAGCCCTTGCGGGTCACAAACTGCTCCTGGCGACGCGACGTCCTGTGACGAGGGACCGACCAAATGGAACTGGTCCATCCGACCGCGACCAAGGCTGCCGAGCCCTGACACGACCAAATGGAACTGGTATGAACTGGTATTTGTTTTCCTGCAAGCACTTGCATGTCTCATGCACCAAACACCAGCAGACGTGGTTTCGGCCGTCCGGGAAGTGGTACTTGGACCCTGGTTTGGCAGGATTTTGGTTCGCTGAACACGAAGTCAACACATGTCAACACGACAAGAATGTGACGTTCGAATGAGGCGAACACAGGTCCAGCCCCCAAAACCTGTGACTATAAACCGGAACACTTTGAAGCGCATACGATCGTACCTTGAGTCTCCAAAGACCTTGTTTTTCTGCGTTTTTGTTTCGGATATTTTTGCGTTTTTGCTCGAAAAACGCGTTTTTAGAGATGAGGACTCAAAAAAAGGTGCAGAGTGAATCTTCATCCGGACGCGTCCGGCACGGACGCTTAAAGACGCCTTTTGGACGCAAAAAGACGTGTTTTGGACGCCGAAAAAGGGTCTCAGGACACTGTCTAAGGAGGATCTGACAGGGCACAAACAAAAAAGGAACATTTCGTAATATATGCAAAAAAAGAGTGCTTTTTTTCAAAAACCTCTTTTTCTTGGAAAGGCAAATTAAAAAGGGTCATTGGAGACTCAAGGTATACGCATTGGGGAAATAAGCCCAATCCCTCCTGGCATCTCCCCCAATCCTATCCGCGAGTCTTTGTGAACACCGATGGTGTCGGCACCTGCAGCTGATCTTCGTCCACGTTGGCGCCGTTCTCGATGGCGATACCCACGTTAGCAGAGTACGACCCAGCGGCGTTGGAGAAGACACGCGTGGCCGCCTGCCACAACGAGATATGAGGACACGAGCATACCTTGCGATAGAGTTGGGAGCCTCTAAGCTACTAGGATACTAGGAGCATTTCGGGCATCGCTACGAACGGAGCAAGGACGCGAACCGAACGGGGCGCTCCTGGCCAGACGACCTATAGGAACAAGAAGCTACTAGCAAACCATGGTCGAAAAGCTTATTCCGACTTGCTCGCGGTTTTGGAGCTGTTCTCCTCACGATGTAAACTGAGGTCAATGACAGTAGCGAGACATCAAACATGGAGACATTGAAGTTTTGAAGGGCACAACTTCTTGTGTGCATGACTCTGCAATTGGTTACAGGATCTGCAGGACATGTACAAACATTATATTAAACATCAACAGCTGAACACAACATGTGCTCTTCCACCAACCGCTCTCAAGCTGTGCTCTCCTCACCGGTCACAGGCACGCCTGTCTCAAGGAGATGTTCAGCTCCTCGGCCTGGCGAGCCCCGTTCGGTTCGCGTCCGATCGCTCCGTGTAGTTAGCGATGCCAGGAGCCCCTAGCAGGAATGAAGAAACATCACACCAATCCAACTGAGTTTCTATGGTCATGGTATTAGGTATTCATGGTATCTGATCGCATGCTCATGGATGCTCATGGTATATATTATAGTTCTGTCGTGGTATGTCATGGTCAATCCACGGGGTGCATCTTCCCAGTCCAAGATGCTATGTAGAACGTATCACGGGAGCTTCTTTCCAGTCTTTTCACGTCACAGGATGCAAGGCCACGCTGACCGCATTCGTTTGGGTTCCGGTTTCCCCGCACCGATGGACGCGTGCAAAAGAACACCCAAATCGGTCGGAGGATGACGGGTCTCCCCATCGAAGCCCACGGGTCTCCCCATCCAAAGCTCAGATCCAAACCACGAAGCACACAACTTGGTGGGTTCACCTTTCCCATCCTTTGGCGCTTTTACCTTTTTCCATCACTTTCCACCTCCCCGTGCAAAACACTCCCCGGCGCCTGCTCCATCGCGTGCTTCCGCACAAAGTTCTGCTCCAGCGGCTCGTCCGCTTCGGCCGCGGCCTTCAGCAATCTGAAGGCGGGTTTCTCCGTTTATATATAAATATATATATATATAAATATGATGGAGTGTCTGGGTATGAAGACCGACCACTTGGGGGTGGTTTCAGAAAATGTTGGGCATTCTTTTCCATAGAGCGTCTGGGGTGCTAGTTTTACTGAGTCGAAGCAAAAGCATATAAGAAAATCAGCCAAGCATGCTACTGCCATATCATGCTTTACCTAAACCCTGTTCACCCGCGTTCAACCCCTGTAGCCTTTCGTCCCGGCCACTGTGACCACCCCCACTCTCTCGTGCTCCACCGTTCGTGACGTGGCAGTCTTCTCGCGGAACCGCCCGAACTGCCTTGATGGCGCGGTCCAAGAGGTTCATCTGGTTGATGAACAAGTCACGGAAGACACCCGAGCAGTTGCACACCACCTGCGGCGAGCGCGTCAAGGAGCGTAGCCGCTTCTTCCATTGGGATCCATGGAGGGTATTGGTCTATGAAACGACGAATTGTAGTGGGGTCGAATTGGTCTAGAGTCTAGGTTCCCCCAGTTAACCAACCACGTGGATAGGCCAGCAGAAACCCAGTAGAACACAAGAAGTTATATACTCAAGGCATGTTTATTGTTACATTGGCGTGCTGGAGGCCTGTGTGTATATATACTTATATGTGTGTACTTATATATATATACTTATATGTTGAATTAAACAATGCAGGTGTAGACCCTCAAACACCACAATGCGGTCTTCCCTGACTAAGTGAAACAGGTTTAACTCTCAATGCATTGGTAAAACCATGTCTCAATGTCTTGCTAAAACCATACTCATCAACCATAGTGGCTTCTATCCCACCATGTCCCGGTCGTGTCCCATGCCGACCCCACCCCATGATCCCCATGGCCCTCTGGGACACATGTTCAACCCCCCGAGGCCCTCTTCGCCAAGTGGCATCCACGCGTGGCCTGCCCAGCTCCTCCAAGGGGATCAACTCCACCTGACGGGCAAGTTCCGCTCACTGCTCACTGAGGCCTTGGAACTGCCTTGTTCCGCGAACCCGTCACCGGGGGGTTGGGTTCAAGTGCAGTGCAACATCTTGAGTCTTGAACGTATGCAGAAACAACAAAAAATGAATCCAGAGAGTGTTGCCATTGTTTGAAGCCCTACGTTGTCTGCAAAAAACAACCAGTGGAAGGGCAAATTTGATGGTTTGTTCGTCTTACCAACACACTCACTTGACGAAATCAATGCGGATAGGTTGATTTCCAGCGCAAAAGCAACGCGCATTTGACATGATTCCATATGCAAGTATGATTCGACATCGGATATCGTGAGGGATATATAGTTTCTAGATGTTTCTAGTGTATCCAAAACGAAAGAAACACATCTATCTGACCTATCTGGGTGACACGGATCTGATCTGGGTGACACATCTGGCACTGCCCGAAGGCAGTGCCAGGCGCCCACGGAATTCCGTGGCTCCGTGGTAGATTGGTCTGTGGTTCCAAATGGAAGAGTTTACTCAAGATCTCACTGCTGGCAAGGGTCAACACCAAACAAACATCTTGCAAATCCTATAACTTATCAAAAAGTAGATTCTTAGATCTGTGTATATATGCTTCCAAATGTGAGCAATGTACAGCAAAAGTCACGATACGATGCAACGAGCGATCGGACCCAGGCTGCCGCACAAGTTTCCTCTCACACTTGAGCCAAACGAAGTTTGTGTTTGACTTCCGTCTCTGATGTCTATACAGCAGTGCTTTCACTCAAGGTTTCGTGTAACGGTATGGCATTGTTGCCACTGCTATTCCAGAATGCTATTGCAAACTGCAATGCAATGCTTACACACAGCATCAATTTCCAACGCTACCAAGCAAGGGGAAAAGCTGGTAGCCAACGCTATATCTCTCACATGTTATAAACCATGGTTCTAACCGAGGGTGGTTTTCTCCCCCCTCTGGAGCAAGGAACAAGTGTTCGGTGCTCAAGCTCAGACATCCCTCGGCTCAAGCTCCGTTCACGAGTCTTACGACATGGCATGTGAGACATTCTTCATCCATGGCTGACAGCAGCAACGCGCCTCAAAGTGCGCCCATCTGCCTTACCTCAGCTTCTGCATTTGGTGCCATTGTGTATGGCGGAATGCGTCTCGCCTTCTTTGCCTTTCGTTTCTTCTTGTACGAAGTGGTAGCCACGGTCGGGTTCGGAGAGGGCTCGAGGGCGTGGGGTTCCATGCTCGCGACCTTCAACCCGGTTTGTGTTGTTCTGACCACCTCATAGCCTGCTAGCTGCACTTGGATGTTGTACAAAGCCAACGGCCAGTGTGGAGCTTCTAGCTGCTTGGTAAAAATGTCTGCTTTCTGCTCCTTCGTGCCTACGATCATCAATTCGACGTCTGGCCTATCCAGCTGCTCTTTTATAGAGCTGAGGTTGACCTTGTGCGTCCTTTTCAGATGACGAAGTTTCTTTGAATACCCTGCGGCACAAACCTTGGCACATGCTTCATTATCCTCCCTAATGCGCAGCAAGACCTGGCGTTGAAAAATGGCCGAGAAGAGCTCCGCCAATGGGATTCCCTCCTCAAATAACACATATGCCAACGCTACCGTTTCCGCTTCGGTTGTGCTCCTTGATGTAGATGTTTGTTTCTTACTGCACCAGGCAACTGGAAACGAAGTTGCCGGGCCGGACAGCTGCAGCCATCCTCCTGTGGTGCTCTTTGTGTCTTCCTCGTCTCCGCAGTAGTCCGCGTCGACGAACATTTCTACAAACAAATCATCCATGGAGTCTCGAACATGTCCTAGCAAGAGCGCCTCCTGAGTGCTATTCAAGTAGCAGATGGCCTTGTGCAGGTACACATCGCAAGCTAGCGTCCAAGCGTGCACGCGACTAGCCAACCAAGTAGTCACCTTCAAGACATCCGGCCTGGCCAGCCTTGCGATCCACATCAACCGCATGAGTATGCCACATGCGATGTCCGCCAACTCACCACGCACCTCATCGTCTGCTGAGGTCTTTGTGACAAAGGGACAAGTGGCCTCCTTCAACTTGGAACAACCGGTGGTCTTGCAGTATTCTTCTATTGTCGCCTGTGCGTATGCCCTCATGTCAAAAGCAAAACACTCTTGGTTGTCAACCTTCACGATGGAGTGGTGCCTTCCTAGGAACCTGCCAAGCTGTCCGACATCCTCTATCTGTACAAGCTCTGCCAAGTCTGCCCAGAAGCGGTCGTGTTGTCCACTAGGGCCCGACAACAACAGATCGTCGACGTAGACCACAAGCGCCAAACCACCATACGACGGGAAAGTGAACACGCTAGCGTACTCAGGGACAGCTATTGCGCCCATCAACTGCAGTTGCTTCTCCAAGTGAGCCTGCCAATGGCTGCCGGCCTCTGGATGGCCGTACAACGACTTCTTCAGCAATATCACTGGTCTGCGAAAGCGGGGTTTGCCTGAAGCATAGTACCAGCTCTCTGGCCATAGTTCCTGAGGTAGCCTCACCCCAGTGCGACACAAGCTTTTCAAGTCCGACTGTAGATACGCCTTAATGGCGTCTGCCGATGTTGCGCAGTTGCCCTTGATCATTCCGAAAGAGATGATGGCGTTTGCAGCGACTATGCTTGCTGGACTTGCTGCAAGCGTCTGATAGAATGCGGCACGACCGTCAGCGGTTTTGGCGTTGTCTCCTCTAAAGCGTACCCTGCCTTTCAACGAGCGGAACGAGCTATCCAATTCCATGTTCTTTTCAGAACAGATAGCCAACAGGTCAGCCAAATGGATGGTCTCTCCTGCCTCGAGTGCGTCACGTCTCACCGCTGCCTCCTCCGCAACCGTCTCAAGGTCCCATGTTCCCATGGAACCTACTCCACGAAATTCCTTCCTGATCGCTTCCAAAGCGTCAGGACGGGCCAGCACCTCGCTCCTGCCAAGCTGTCGAGTGACCAATGCGTAAACTCCTGCCGACAAATCTTCCTCCTCTGGGTGGCCTTCTGGAGAATACTCCGGGCCTTCAACCGGCGGTGGTTCAACCCATGCCGAAGACGACGACGAGGATGTAGTACGAGGGCCTGGTTCGGCCTTTGGCATAGGAGTGAGAGCCGGAGTGCGCGGAACTGGGTCTCCGGTAGCGCGCCTGCCTCTCTTGGGTACAAGCCATCAAAGCGCTCACGACATGCCTTGCTGTGGCGGTAGTGTCCGCCAGAACAACCAGAGCAACCCTTGGTAAAACCATGCTCAAGCAGTCTTGCATACGTGATGTAGGCGTGCCTTGGCGGTGTTGGGCGATCCTCAACCGGGTACGCGTCAATCACCACATCATACGGAAGAACTCCGGATTCCAACGACTTGTTGTACTCAGCCTTCCGAAGCTCTGCGTCAGCGTCAGTCATGCTAAACAAAGCCTGCCGTGCTGCAACTGCCAGTGGGAACTGGATGTGCTCAAGGGGTGGAAAGAAAACCTCTTTCACATACATGTCACGTGGGCTCCAGTGAAGGTGTGCCCTGTTCCTCACATTCTCATAGTCCAGAACCTGAACTACCTCTCTGTAGCGAAGCCCTGCATCAACACGCCAGCCAACAAACAAGCCAGGTTTCGTGGTCGGCTCAGCCATGCCGTCGCCCTTCGCTCGATAAAACACAAGGGAACCGAGGGGGTACTTGGGACCAGGAAACTCACTGCCTGTTGCAACATGCCAACGCGACTTGCCCTGTTTGAGCGCCTCAACATCGGTGCCTTTCTCATAATCTCTAACCATGCATGGAGTCCAAAATGCGCGTGCCTTTGCAGCAAACACAACGGACAACGGCCAAAGCTTCTTGTGGAAACCAGCCTGCAAATGGGCCGGGCGACGCAATTCTTTTATGGCCCGTATTTCACGCTCGGTGTGGGCATTGTGTGGCCATGACCTTGGGACAGATGGAGCGATGTTCCAGCATAGCCTTGCCGCCGCCTTCGTTAACTCGGTGGCCGCATCAGATTTAAACACCACATTGGGATCACCGTTCAACCTGTGGCCACCGAAGTGTTTCAGTTCCTCGAAGACCGTGTCTTCGGACCTATCCCTTCCGGGATACACCAGGCTCACGCCTGAAAACCTGTCTAACACCACTAAGGCTGTCTTTTCCCCTTCATTTCCTTGAGATTCCTCAGACGGGAACATGTTGTCCGCTTCAATGAGATGACCGAAACCAGTCGGCCGTTCAAACACACGCTCTGCTTCTTCGGGTTCCTCACGATGCGACTTTGCGTACCGTTTGAGCATCCGGCCTCGAATGCAATGCTCGCAGAACGGGTTCTTCTTCTCATGAAGGGTCATGTGTTCAAGTGACGTGGCCTCTCTCTTCAGGCGTTCGTCTCGAGACTCAAGGGGCTCAAGCTCATGCTCCTCTGGGTCAGCAGGACACGCGAACGAATCAACAGATTCATAAACAACAGCCTCAAGCACGGCGCCTTCAAGGGGCTCGTTGGGGACGTGTTGAGAAACATGTTCACATGACTGCATGACAGGCATCGCCGGCACATCCCGGTAGACTATCTCCGGAAACAAAGCAGAGAAAACCAACTCACACATGTAAACGGGGTAGATGGCCGTGGTAGGGGTGTTGGAACCAACTATCTGTGCGTGCTCAAAACTATGGTCATGCTTACATCTCTTGTCAGCAAACGTGCGGGCCAACCGCTCGTTCGTGGTTGCAAGTCTCCACTTCTTCAAGAATGGGGTTCCGGCCTTGTCAACAAGACCTACAGCACATCCGTCAAAGTTCACCACCATCATGTCAATCTCACGAATGAGTTTGCACAAGGCGTTCTGACGCCATCCGAGCGCGTGTCTTGGCCACTCAAAATGAACATCTCCGCCTCCTGCCTTGACATGCCTAGCAAGTTCTACAAACCTATTCAACAATTTCAAGGACAACTCACGCGACTTCGCCAACTTCTTGCGGTATTGTTCACCATAGCGGTGAGCGTTCAAGTACTGCCATTGCGACCAAG